ATCTCTCGAGTCCTCGGGTTTGAGTCATTCTGTCACGTGATGAACGAACGATCATGGCTCCTATTGGCTTAAACTCTGCATTGATTAAGATTATATGTGACTGTCAGTGTAACGTGAATGAACCCCTGACATTTGAAGACATGAAGAGGTGAGCTGAGCAAAGAGACAACAATACCTTCAAAGACAAAAGAGCAGGTAAACATTGAATTATTTTTTTTTTTATGACTTATTTGTCGTGCAATCAACCTTTTGGGCTAGTTGTAGATGTGTTTGGAAGCAATTCGTAACATTTGAATAATAATTTGGCAAATTGAACCAAATGAACGAAATCACTCGAAAAAAGATTTGTTCATCTTGATGAACGAGACACAAAGATCCGAATCAGTAAAATGATCCGAACTTCCCATCAATAAATACTATGGAAGTTCATGCTTACCAGTTTCCAATATTCTTCATAATATCTGCTTAAAATTAAGAAACACTAATAGTTTAAGTACAATTGGAGGGTGGGTAATTTGTCTTTTCTTTTTGTTTTGAGCTATCCTTTTGTATTAACTTTTAACTTTGTGTCCAAATGAAAATGAATTTCATGTCTCTTTTTTTAAATCATGTTTTTAGAATCATAGTTTATGTTATGAAACCGTTCTCAAAATGTAGTTGCATGACATGCGTCTCATAAGCCTACAGTGGTTAAGGACATGCCTTGCCTCATGGGGCCAAATCTTCCCTAACTGCTGTTTACTTCTCTGAATAAACACGATCTGTTATCTACATACAGGAAGTGTAGAGGTAAACAAAGTGTTTTGGTAGGAAAGGAACATAAATGATCTTCTAAAGAGTAGACCATGTTTCTCTGTGATTTATTTGCAAGTGTGTGTTAAAAAAACAATCCAAATTAGCATGCCAACACAAAATAAAATGTAACAAAATACACAAAACAACACACACACACACACACGTTTGTTTTTGTGAAAAGTGGGGACATTACATAGACTTCCATTCATTTTATACAGCACAAACCGTATATTATATTGCCCTCACCCCACCCCTAAACCCAACCATCACAGGAGACTGTGTGCAGCTTTACTCTCTGATTAAACTCATTCTCTAGGGTTTATAAGCTCTTTGAGAAATGAGGACGTCAACAATGTCCTCATATTTCACCTCCTTTTTGTAATACCTGTGTCATACCCATGTCATTATACAGATTTGTGTCCTGATATGTCACAAAAACGCGTACACAGACACACACACAAATAAGCAAAACCGAAGACATGCTCAGCAATCCCTTAGTCCAAAATGGGATTACAAAATAAATCAATCAATAAATGATTGATAATGAATTATTCATTCATTTATTCATTTTCTTGTCGGCTTAGTCCCTTTATTAATCAGGGGTCGCCACATCGGGATGAACCGGCAACTTATCCAGCATATGTTTTACACAGCGGATGCCCTTCCAGCTGCAACCCATCACTGGGAAACATCCATACACACTCATTCACACACATACACTACGGACAATTTAAGCTTACCCAATTCACCAATAGCACACGTCATTTAGGTAACCGGAGCACAAACTCCACACAGAAATGCCAACTGGCCTAACCAAAGCTTGAACCAGCAACCTTCTTGACAGCTCTAACAACCGCGCCATTAATAAATGTGTATTATTGTTTTTTATTATTATTTATGATGATTGTCAAGAAAGACAAAGTACATACAGGAAGTTTATCAATAAATCAAAAGCACAAACTGGGCTTAAATGTATTTGAGGTGTGTGATTGTTGCCTGTATTGGACATACAATTCTGAATTGTCTGAATTATGTATTGAGTGGTCATTTTTATAAGGTTTTAGTTTAGATTTTGTGGCATCGCATACCTTAGGAAGCTTTAGGAAGCACTATTAAATTATATAATATAAACACACCTGTACCTTAGCTGAAGCCTGAATTTCAGAACCTTTGGGTGTTCTCTCAGAGGTGTGGACATTATCATATTCTGTGGAAGAGCTTAGCTGCTTATGAGTGTGGCCTTTAGAACATTTTAATGACTCGAAAGTGCCAGTAGAGGTCCCTCATACTTCATGACAAAAATGATTAATAGTTCATTTAGCTGAATCTCTTTATAATCTAATACAGTGGTTCTCAAACTTTTTTCCAAGTACCACCTGAGAAAAAAAAATTGTCTCTTCAAGTACCACCATAATGACCAGTGTTGAAGTACAGTAGCGTAGCGGGCCTAATTAAGCAGCTACAGCACTGCACAGTTAAAAAACGGGGCAGATTAATTCTTATTATTATGAATATTTAATATTGTCAGCCACTTTAAACATTATAAATAGTTTGAACATTAAGAATGTACTGTGCTTACAGGTAGAATTAAATAAAAAGTTTAAATTAAAATGTGCTTTTAAAAGTTTATTAAAATGGGCACAGTTCTTAAAAAGTAAAAAGAAAACTGCACTCTTTAAATGTAAAGTATTATCATAAAGTAGGC